GCAACTCGGAACCTCGCAGTGAGGCAACAAAGGCTGGCTTGACAAAACTGGAGTCTAACCCACGCTCCTAGCTCCGATCTGGTGGCTGAGCACCTACGTATATATATCAACAGTGAGCTAAAGCCCAGTGAATAACATAATGCGTAAAGAGGTTAAGAATGAATGGTCCTTACAGTATGAAAACAGTTCATTTAAACAGTATTTCAGTTGTTCAGTCAGTACAGTCATATGTGGTACACCCATTAGCATAACAGTGCAAATACAGTAAACAGAGGTCTAAAACCGAACAGTAATGATGGCCATCAATCAAGTAAACAGTAGTGGTCCCACGAGGGAACCGACAGAGATCTCTGTTAACAGTTACCAGTAAACAGTAGGTGCTAAGGATGCCACAATATAGTTCAGAATATAGCACATATATCATTCAATTAACAGTAATCAGTTCAGAAAACAGTACAGTTCAGTTGTTCAGAAGATAATCATTTGTGAACATATCTTTACACAATCGTTACTCACAGGGTTTGGGCTACAGTATGCTAGAGCGTGCCTCCCCAGTCGCCAACCCTACACAGTTCACAGGTTGAACACACACTAAGCTACACAGTTGGGAAATATCATAACTTAATCCCTAATTTGCCTTGGTGTGTTCTACATCTATATCCTCAACAAGATGTCTTAAACTAGGTCTAAGAATGCAATGGGATGAGGATGCAAAAAGATGTACTCAAAAAGCATTTCAGAATATCAAAAAAACAGAGTCCCGCTTCGAGCGCAGGTTTCCCCGCTCGAGCGGTCATGCAACAAAGGTACACGCTCGCGCGTCAACTTTCCCGCTCGAGCGTACTGTAAAAGTACTGGATGGGTGAAATCTCCGCTCGAGCTCCCAATCCTCCGCTCGAGCGGACTGTAAAACAGTGCAGAGAAATACTGGATGCTCGGATTCCACGCTCGAGCGGCACTTCCCCCGCTCGAGCGGAAGTGCAAAATCTGGAAAATCCAGATTGTACCTCCAAGCTCTAAAACCATGTTTAAATGCATCAAAACCGATCCTCTTGGGCTGAATTTCCAGAAAACACTTGTAAACATATAGAATGACATGGCTCAAAGCTCAATTTTGAGAAATCAAAGCCCAAGGGTGTTTAATTCAAGTCCAATTTCAAACCATTTTCATGAACATGGAGAACATGCAAACATGCATGATCTTAAATCATTTTCAAAACTTTAATGCTGTTTCAAAGGAGCTCAAACCTTCAAAAACAAGATGAACTCATGGAGTATGACCAAAAGATGGACATGCAAATGAGGAATTATGGACTTACAACCTCAAAACTCAAGAATGGCAACATGCATGCAACAATCAAGCTACAATTCAACATCTAAACCATGTTTTGGCTCTAAACTCCATCAATATGACATGAACCATGCAAGAATCAACTTTAAGACACAATTAAGAGGTTGAAACCCTTACCTAAGTCTTGTATTCAAGGTTTAGGAGTCCAATTTGACAATTTACACTTCAATTCCAAGCAATTCAAGCCAATTCAACAAAATGAACTCAAGTCTCTCCTATCTCCTCTCTTGGTCGGCAAGAACAAGGGAAATGGCTGAGAAAATGTTTGATCTAGGTGTATAATGAGGCTCAAGTATATTGTATTGAGTGGGCCACTCATGTGGCAAAATGGAAAATAAATCAAACTATGCAATTGATCAATATTTAATCTAATTTAATCATACATAACAGTTTTCAGATAATTATACCATAAAATCACATTAATTCTAAGGATCATAGAACACTAACCAATTCCCGGTTCGGCCGCCGATAAGGCCTTCAATTAGCAGTTTAAACATAAAACACGAACAGATCAAATAATCAATCAAACAGATAGAATACAAATTAACATACACACTCAGTCAATTCAGTTCCAGTTTTCAGTCAGTCAGTTCAGTACTTTAACCAGTCCAATTATCAGTCATAATTAGTTCAGTTTAACAGTAATAAATGTTTATCGGTAATCAATCAGTCATTAATCGGTAAATAGTATGAGGGTTGTTACAATAAGAATCACCTATATAAGTATGAATTAGGCCGGTTCTTTGAGATTTGTGAAGGGCTACAATTTTTTAGAGCACTCTTGGAAGACCAGATTGTTTAGGGCTAAAATGAACACAATAGTGAGAACTAAATTGTGTCTGGTGATATACTGTGTGAGTTCCATTGTCTTGGTTTACACAAATAGTTGAACAGTTCAAGACATCATGTTCACTGGTTAGCTAGTAAATCCGATAGTGTCTCACAAGGGAAGGTTCAAAACCAAAAGCTACCTATCATTTGCAGAATATTTTCAATTTTTGTACTCTCTGTAATTAGATCATGTTGTTGCATTTTCTCTCCATCAAATTTCATTCATGTGAGGGATTGTTGGAATTTATGGTTTTATAGGCTTATTTTGGGCCAACTTTAAGCCCAAATTTGAGTGGGTCCCAAACGTGTTTTGGGGGGGATCCAAAGAGGTGGCGTGTTCCTTGCCGCATGGCAATTCACATGGTACAAATGGTTCATCAAAACCATTTATGAGTGAATGGAAAGTTGACGTCGTTTTTGGGTTCATGGAATGAACAATTAAAGAATAAAATGTGGATTTCCTTGTAAGGCTTATCCCACATTGAAACTTTAAAAGAACTTGTGTATGTATATAAGCTCTAGGTGGCAACACTTGAGTTGGGCCCCAAGGGGCACCCCAAGTTTGTAGAAATGAAGAGTTATGGACAAAGTGACCTTTGGCTCAAACCACTACACGCGCACGCACCGCCGTCGCCTTTTGTCCGACCAGCTGGCCGTGCCAGGCGCGGGTGTGGGTTGTGGGTCGGATTGGTTCTAATATTAATTTTTTGGACAAAATTTATTTGAATTTTTTCTAAAAATTCTTGCTGAAAAATTAATTTTTTTGAACGAAATTAATTCAAATTTTGCGTCAAATTGAATTCAATTTTTTGTCCAAAACAGTGCCCTTTGGGTCCAGGTTCAAACAATCTAGCGGACAGATTCAAAAAGTGCACCGAACAGGTTCAATTTCAAACCATACCTATTCAGTCTGAACCATACCTGTTCATTTCAAAAACATATCTGTTCATTCAATTTCATACCTATTCGGACAGATCTGAATGGTCACCAATCTGCCTATAAAAGCTAACTTTTTCCAACATTTATAACATCTAGAAAATTTATCTTGCTTCCCATTTTTGCTCTTTTGCATTATCTATTCTTCATATTATTTTTAGGAGAAATATTTGAGAGTATAGAACACAGGTTTGGTTCGCTGTACATATTGTTTGGAATGCTACTACAATTTGTGAAAGATCATTGTATCCTGGGAGATAGACGTCATTTAATCCGTAAGCACCGAAACAGGGCGAATCTGTCTTAAGAACAGAGTGTCACACACTTGACTTGATCTATTTTTGTACTTATTCATTTCGGTAAAATCAATTCTGTAAGTAATTTATTTTTATTTGTTTGATTTGTTTCAAGTTTTTTATTTTACACAGAAAATTGTTCCAACATACTATTTACCAATTTTCTACGCATGTTGTGACATAAAAGATCTCGATAGTAGAGGTTGCAAGGATAGGAAATAAGAGACATGAAAAGAGTTAGGGTACTAGTGGTAAGAGATGGTGACGATGGTGGTTATGGTGGTTGTGAGAGGCTAATGTGGCTAGGGCGGGGTAGTGATGGGAAAGCACATGGTAACAAGTTAGAGAGAGAGAGATATATAAGAGTGGCAAAAATATAAAAATTATCAGATTTTTTTTTTCCTATCCAACTCTCACTTCTAATTCCCATTTTTGTGAGCAAATTTTTTCATTTTTCTTTTTGGGTAATGGTTAAACCGTTCAATGCGCTTAGCCTATATGGGATAAGTGCATATCACTGTTAGGATTTGGACTTTTGAGCTAACCAGTTACATATCTTTTTCTTTTCTTTCTTTCTTGCTTTCTTTTTGTCCTCTTTCTTACCTCATTCAAATACACAATATGCTGATCCAAACCAGAACATATCAGCACATTGCTGATCCAAACCAAAACAAATCCAAAATAACACTGATCCAAACCAGTTAACATGGTTACCTTAACCAGAGAATGTAAATACATAAGCAAACCAGTTTAAATTCCTAAAATTGCTTCATAATCAGCCAGTTCTATGTTGACTGACTATAGTCAAATGCAATTGTTCTACCAAAGAGAGCAACTTCTTCTGGAATTATATTTAGATTTTATTTCTAGAGATTACATGATTAGTACTTCCATTTATTTTATTAACGGTATCAGATAGATACTATTACATATAATCCTTCCTTTTATTTTACTGACCAGATATAACATATAGAAACTAGGAGTCTTATAACTTCTCAAGCACCAAAGTACTTCCGCTTGACTAGATCAAACCGTAATTTTGCACCACAGACGACATGTCAGCTTGCCCTCCCACCATCCTCTCAGCCTTTTTCTTCCCCACTCACCTAAAAATTGCACATTGAAGATTACTTAAGACATCATTAAAAAAAAAAACAAAACACAAGCAATTACTTACCAGTGCAAACTCTTATTACATCTGTAATAAGCATCACTACACAACAAGCGGAAACCTCATTAGAAATATAACCAAATTTTAATCCATTTTAATTTTTTGCATGGTTTCTTAGATACAAGTTCCATAAGGAAATAACCCTGACCACAAACATGGGGTATTAACTTATTTGTCCTTGTATCACCATGTAATGATTTGGTTACACAAGTAATTGCCTTATATTCTCAATGGATGGCCATTATCATCCAACTTACCTTACATATCATTTTTCACACCAATTACCCACATAATTTCTATTAGTGGTTAAAAATAAAGAGAAAGCCTGAAATCTTACGGAAAATTTTGCCATCACCAATCTCTCATGTTCTTGCCTCTTCAATGATCTTGTCTATTACAGCTTCAACCTAAGACAATATGCAGTGAGGTTCTGCGTGAGTAATATACACAACAAAACTGTATTTTCACTAAGCGGTAACTTGTAAAGAAACTTCACAGGTACAAAAGGGAAGAGGAAATCAAATTAGTTTCAGCTTATAGATCACAAAACCACTTGAGAGTTCTCTTAGAGCTTTCAAATTTTTTTTTATACCTGATCTTTTTTCACCACAATCTCCATCTTAACTTTAGCTAAGAACTTGTCTTCGCAAAATTCAGAGCCTGTGGTGGATAAAGATGAAGGCAAGGGAATCATGTTAAACATTTTTTCGTTCTACATCACAAAAAAGGGAAGAGGTGTAAATAAATTCATTTAAGTCTACTTTTTGGAAGTAATTGAAAATGTAAATGACTTGGGGGGGAAGAAAATAAGAAAAGGGATAAGAAATGGAAATTAAATATAGAATCATTTAGGACCTCAACAAGTCAAGCACTTACCTGCCTGCCGTTCTGTCAAACCACCTTAGGTACCAAAGCCTTGAACATCTGACATCGTAATACCATGAATACCTATTTTTAGCAGGCCTTACATATTTCACAAAAGATACTACAAGTTAAAATCAACATGGGTCACTGGTAAACCAAACCAAACCAAGCCTTAAGTCCCATCAAATGGGGTAGGCTACATGAATCCTTCTTCTCTACGTGACCCTATCAAAGGCCATTTCGTTAGTCAAATTAAGTAGATCCATATCTCTATTTACAATGCTAGCCAACATTAATCTAGGCCTATCTCGTCCGTTGACACTTTCATCTACCATTATAGTATTGCATCTCTTCACTACTGCCTCTGTTGTTAAAAACAAATCTTCTGCCTGAAGCCTTTCGTCTTCTCTTCATTTTTCCTTGTATGCCAAACGTGATAGATAGGACAATAAGGAGACTTCAATAACTAATGAAGAAAACATAGCAAGGAGGCAAAATACATTGAACTACGAGTATGATGTGTATGTTTTAGTCAAGTTCATAAACTTTATATTAACTTGCCATAAGTAAAAAATGTCATACTGACTATTACAAAGACCCATGGTCATGTGAAACCAAAAACTCTTTTACATTTTACTATATTTGTTTGCTTAAAACATGTATGACAAAATATTGATGCATTAGATCTCCTAATGTTTCAAATTTCTGAAAAATTATACATTCAAGATGCTCCTTACAAGATGTTGGTTAGCATGCATCCTGTTCCCACAACTTGGAGCATTATAAAAGAAGGGTTCATGGTCCAAATTGTTTCAATACAACAAAGGTCCATTACTATGCATTATAATAGTAAGCAATCATTCTTAATTTTCCAGAATTTTGAATTACATGTCATCTAGATTCCCACAAGTCTTGTGCATTGGGTCCACAGAACACAATAGTCAAAAAAGGTAGAATTACGACAAAGTTTGATGGCAGAGATGAGAGCATGGCCATAAAACATCCATATAGTTGGCACATTTCAAAATTTTGAGAAATCTGGCATGGACAATTGGCCTCATAAAATGTCTTATTGAGATTTTGTTGCATTGATACCATTTGGACTACTAGAAAAATGCTGACGAGACATGATAGTCCAACTAGTATTATACCATGAAAGCTCACCAACATTTAAAATGTTGATCTTCCAAATCTAGTCATCAATAATTGGAAACATTTTTATACAAGGTATTCCCAAGTCCAGTAACTTCACATGTGCCATCGACACCCCCATGTTCAAATGTCCAAAACCAAACTTTTCCTCCCTATAATCCATTTACATTTATTGTACTGACACTATTTGGACTATGTTGCACGAAGTCCTTCCATGGCTCATCAATTATGAATGGTTCCTGTGATTTAAAGGTCACTACGTACCAATCCAAACACCATCAATACGCCAAATGCCTGCTATCAATGCTTTAATGACGCACTGTATGTTTTATTTATGCGGGCCATTGTAATATCAACAACTCTGCACGTGGCACTAATACCACCAGAAATGCCAATAATCAGACCCATGTGACCCTCTCTACCAATCCAGCTTTGTCTTGTCAACTTTGTGTGGACATTGTCTATAAAAGGTTCACAAAATAACAATTCAAAAACGTATCAATATGACAAATTCTTACCAAGTGTTATAACTTACAAAGATTATCTTTTATAGTTAATGCATGCCAATCTAAAAAAAGCAATGCATCTAGTACCCCTTTTGTCTATGTATATTTTTGCCTAATCAACATTATCATCAAGTACCCTTTTTATTTTCAAAGGATTTGAGTAACGGTGGCTACTTGTTACTGTAGCATATGAGAAGTTGAGAATAAAATAGTGGTGTACAAGCCATGTTGAAAGACAAGTTGCATTAGATTACTATTATCTAAATAAAGAGGTTATCAGGTTGGAGTTGGGAGTATAAATAGATTACCAAATTACATATATTATTGTTTCTTCTATATTTCCTAAATAATCAATTGCATGCATTATTGCACATATAAATGGAAATAAATGACATAAATTGTATGCATAAATTGTAGTACAAAGAAACAATCTGTATTAAAATTCAGTAACGTTGTATTTGGTTGGATGATTTAGAGAGAGATTTGGAAAGCGAAAGGGAAAATGTGTGTGAAATTAGGTGAAATATAGATATGTTTTATTTACATTTCAGTTACCTTTTCCATTTCCCTTTCTAAATCATTTCTCAAATCCCCCAACCAAATACAACATAAGTCTTTCTTACTAATAAAACCTGTGGGATTCGCCATGGCCTAGTTGGTATAGCAGAAGCAAAAATAAGAATGAGAAATGCCAAAACTCAATGAGTTAAATTTAACAGAAACTTAAGATATATATACATAGAAAGATATATAGGACCTCAAAATCACCTCCACTTTATAAAATTTAGCATCTGGAGTGTAATCTACAAGCAATTAAGCAACACACACAAAAAACCCACAAATAATTAAGATATGGAAATTGAAAAACACAGTAACAAATTTCTGGAAAGGGTAAATAAACCTGGAGAGATGTGGGCTCTTATTGGAGGAAGATGAGATGTATTTCAAGTGACGTGGAGGAGATAAAGTCTTAAGAAGTTGTTATTGTTGTTGTTGTTGTTGTTGGGAAAAAGGATTGAAGTGAAAGTAGTAGTTATTATGAGGGGGAAGTCATTGAGATGAGAGTAAGGAGTGAGGAGGGCTCCTGGTTGTTTCACGATTGAAGGAGCCATCATGATGTTTAGAACTCGCATCGCAATTAAAGATTAGAGCATCCACAATGGATGTGTTAAAGTGTGTTTTATATGACAAAAAGTGATAAAAGTGGGACCTAAAAATATGTGTTAAGGTGTGTTAAGAGTTTGTTAATTTTAGAGAGTGAGTGGTGGTGCAATGGATGTGTTAAGGTGTGTGTTAAGAATATATATATATATAATAAATAAATAAAATAAATAAATAATTTAATTTAATGAAGTGTTCAGGCTCACTTTGCAACAACACAAAGGTGATGCACATGCCAGAACCACCATCATCATCATCCTTAGAAGACAACAACAAAAATAGAGCATCAATGGGTGGTTCAAATTCAATTAACAACCATATTGGTTGCTCCAGTAGATCCATGAAAGCTCCTCTGAGTGAACTAAATGGGGCTTCATTTTTAGTGTCTTCTAACTCTTCTTCTTCTGCTTCCACTGTTCTTGTCCTGACTATAGTGAGATCTTCATGAAACCTGAGAGTTTGGAGCTTCATCAGAGTGTTAAACATGCATCATCCCAAACCAAATTCAACCTTGCAAAACAGGCCCAGAACAGTAAGGATCCGGACGTCCGGCCGGACGACCCTATTGCACAACCCCAGTGTCCCCCTCTCTCTTTCTCTTTCTCTTTTCTCTCTCGCTGGCTAGAATGCTGGTTGCAGTTAACACACAATTTAGCATCTGACACTATTTTTTATCCCTAACGTTGCCCTTAACACTTCCATTGTGAGACAAAAAGTGACTGGCTTGCTAAAAGTTTAACCACCGACACTAGCACACTCACAAACACATCCACTGTGGATACTCTTAGTATTTATTTATTTAGTGATTAGGGCAGGGGTATGGTGTGGTATGCTATTGTGTGGATGATAATGATGATGGTCAGAAATTGATAGTGGCAGGGGAGGGACTACGGTGGGTGGGGAACCTTATATAGTTTTATTTTTTTGAGATTTGATCAATGTTCGCTCATAGTAAAATTTTAATTTATTAATAATAAATATGAAAAATTTATTATTGAAAAATTTAGCACATATTATTATTATTAAAAAATTAAATTTGAAAATAATATAACTTTTGATTTAGTTGTTGATTTTTAACCAAATTAATATTTTTAAAATCTTCTCATCAAAATATATCAAATAAGATCTATGTTGATTGTAAAATTCTTTAAAAAAAATATATTATTATTATTTATCGTCGAAATTGATGTAAACAGTAACATGTTACTCTGTTTGACAGTAATGTGTTACTTTAATTCACAGTAATATGTTATTTTGACAATATTATCTAGTAAAAAAAAAAGAAAGATATTTTTTACTTTATCCTTACTCAATTATGCTCCTTCTCTTTAGGGGGTTTATGAAACAAAATAAATTAGAGTATCTTTTTCATCAAATAAAAGTCCAATAGAGAGATTTTGGCCAAATTTTTCATTATTTTTTTAAAATTAGGTTGGGCCCAGTTGAAATAAATTTCAAAACTATGAAACAGGCCCATTCCCAGGCCCTTGACCCAACTTCTTTTTGTGAGGTCCCTATTTGTTTTTAATCTTCTTCAACAATCGGCCCAGTTCAATCTGGGCCAAACTTTAATTTTATGGGTTTTAAAATTTTAAACTCCCAACCCTAGCAAATTCTAGGTCGAAGATTCTGTGTTTTTAATAGGAAGGAAGGAATATACTTTTAGGGTATGTTTGATTGGACAGATTGGATAAGAGAGGATTTGAATCCATCGGACTTAAATCATGAGACTGTGAATCCTTCGAACTATTTGGTTGGATTGGACGTGTATCCCATGTTTGTTTTTTCATGGGATTAGATGTTTGAAAATGACTATTTTTAGTGAATCTAATGTTTGGTTGGACGGATTGGATATGATAAATGAATAAAAAACTATTTTATTATTTTTCAATTGTTTACTAATTAATAGCAATATTAAACACATCTTTAATATTTTAATTATTTTTAGCCAAATTAAATAAAATTTTATTTTATTTTATTTTTTACACAATTAAATAAAAAAAATTATAAATAAAATATCAATAAAATATATGTTATTTTTTTAATTAAAATTTTAAATAAATTTATTTTTACAATTTAAATAATGAAATTAAATAAATTATAAACAAAATTTTAAAATAAAACATCAATAAAATATCTATAAAAAATTATTTTAAAAAATTAAATAAATAAAACATCAATAAAAAGTTAAATAAAATTATTTTATTTTTAAATTGAGACATTTAAATTTTATTGAATTTTATTAAATATAATACATAATTAAATAGTAGAGGGTCAAAATGGTCATATCACATTCTAATCTCAACAGTAAATAGTCCAATGAAAATTGTCCTATACCCCCCTCAGGATAGTATAATCCCCCATATGAGAGATAAGGAGTTTGGGCAGACTCCATGTCCAGCAGATTAAAAAAAAAAACAAACGCCGGATAAAAAACTTTTCCTGGATTACAATCCTAACAGTGAATAATCCCTCATTTATTCTCTCAATCAAACACACCCTTAGAGTTTTTGTTTATGAGTGTTTTTAGGACACTTGATAAGAAGTTTGACATGCTTATATATAATGTATGGGAGTGTGTATGATATGTAATGTACAATTAATTTAAACATTGTTAACTAATATCCTTAGAGCACTCATTAACCAAACCTTACATTTTATTTAAGTTTGTGTAGTTTTTTTTTCTTATTTATATTTTTGTCTGGGCCCCTGTAAAATGGAAGTGGAATTACAAACCCATCCATTTTTTCTGGTGAATCTACCACAGGTCTCATCTCATGGACTTTTTGTTGGAAGGGCTGATATGATATTCCCTTTTTTAAATACTGATCAAGGTTTTGCCACGCAGTTTCAAACAAATTGAAAATAATAAAATCTTTACACCACAGTATATGGCGGGGATAGCTCAGTTGGGAGAGCGTCAGACTGAAGATCTGAAGGTCGCGTGTTCGATCCACGCTCACCGCATTCCTCTGTTTATGTTTTGTTGTTTTACTCGACAGCATGACGTTTGATCAACAAGGCAATATCAACCATCATCAATGGAGCCTACCCACTTGGGAGTATTCGGGGAAGTCCATTTTTTGATTTATTTTTGTCTTTAATGATTTTTTTTTTTTTAAATTTAGATTTTTAGATTCAATTCAACAAAACAAACTGAAAAATTATAACTTTTTAAAAAAAAATTTAGAGAAGGCAAAAATAAGCCAAAATAAGTAATATTTTTTAATTTATTTTCGTCTTTAATGATTTTTTTCTAAAATTTTTCTAGAAAAATGTACTTTTTAAATTCGTCTTGATAAGATAGACCGAAAAATTTTAAAAAAAAATTGACATAATTTTGAAAAAAAATCACTAAATACCAAAAAAAATTGAAAAAATAGATTTTTTTTTTTGGTTGTTAAAATGGACCTTAGTCAATGGCTAACATTGACACGTGGTTTTGTCTGCACCTTACAATTTTCTCGATAATTTTTTATGTTATGAGTGTGATTAAAGTTTTATGCGAGACAAAATCATTTGAATGAAGCAGTTTTCTTCTTTTGTTTTTCAAATATTTTTTTTTTCAAAATCAAAATTAAATAAAAATCTATAAAACTTAAGTTTTCCGCATGAATGTGAACATCTCATAGTTCACCTTCTTTTGCATATTTTCTTATTGAGACATGAGCATTAGTGGACTAGGTTTTCAATTTCTTTAATCATAAAAATAATGAAACTTAATTAGTGTCATGAGTAGCTTCAAAATGTTGAATCCACCAAAATAGTAATGATGTGATTTTTCTAAAGAAAGATAGTTCATTGGTTCTTCTTTTACTTTTATTTTATTTTGATGCCTCCTGGCATAATGATGTGAATTTATTATATTCCAAACCAATAATTCAATTTCAAAAACAAACCGTGCCAAGGACTAACAATGTCGCCTCTCTGTAAAAAATGGATAATTATTCCATAATTTCGGAATAAAAACACATTGTATTTTATAGTATTGTGATTAGTGGAGAAAGTAAGTAAGTGAGTTATTATTTTGTATGATTGGAGAATATAAAAGAGCATATTAAATGATAATTAATTAAATAATACAATTTTCCAAAATAAAATCATTTATACTCTTAAAAATGACATTAATGATCATAAAAATGAAATATTTTGGATCTCACTATTTTTTATAAATATACATATGATAAAAGAAAGCACGAAAATATCCATTAATGGCTCTAATACCAATGTAAATCAAAACACAAAACATGCAGCGGAATAAAGTGTTTAGATCATACCTCGTTAGATCTAAAACCTCGTGGATAAATCACGTGCTTCCATACTCAATCAATCAATCCCAGCAGTGGGGTGATATTACAATGGTGAATATCACCCACACAAACCACAGTGCAAAATGACTTTTGATCGTTATTTTTGGGAGAGAGTCAGTATCATGGGTAGAAAAACAAAACATACGTTGTTTCTCTCTTGGGTTACCCATAACCATATATCAGATATATATTATATTTATCTCATTTATCCAATGGTTAAATGAGATAATATCTGATATCTATATCATCTATCCATATCATGATATGATAGATATATATCCTGAGTGGCTCATTCAAATAGGTTTGAATTCAAATTCAAAACCCATTTGGATGAGGTTCAAAAGGTTCTAAGGGTCATGCCACATGGGCGCCCAATTTCTAACAAACATATTAAATGATAATTAATTAAATAATACAAACACATGATACTTCAAAAACATTCTACAATTTTCCATAAAAACTATACCACTTTAATTTCTCTTTATATCTCTTTCAAGTTGTTTTGATCGCAACTCTTGCGGTGGGTATCTCTCCAAAACCTAGTCAACACAAAAACAATTTTATTAGCATTGATTAATAAAAACAAATTTCTGAGCACATTTCAAAGTTTCATGATTAAATCGTAATTTGTGATGCTTATTAATTAAACAAAATGGCTTCCAATTACATTTTCTTTCTTTTTTCTAGCTGTTCAAAAAAAAAAAAAAAAAAAAAAACATGAATAAAAGAATATTCACTTAGTTTGGTTTCAGTTTTCAGAATTTACTTTTCAATAAATTTTACCTTTTCGTTTTCCGTATTTTTTTCTTTTCACTGAATTTTTTTAATTTTTAAACACACCTAACATAAATACACTTAAAAAGTATAATATCTATGAAAAAAATCTTTTAAAAATTCACTAAATACCAAAAATACAAAAAGAAAAATATTTAGTACATTTATCATATTTTTGTGTATTTATTAATTTTTTTAAATATTTTTTTTACAAATATCTTACTATTTAGATATATCTAAATAAAGTGCATCTAAAAAAATAAAAAAATTTGTTTAAAATTTTAAAAATATTCACTAACCAAACCAAACCTGAAGTCTCATTAAATGGGGTCGGCTATATAAATTTTTCTTATCCACTCGAATCTATTCAAGGGCATTTTATTAGTCAAATATTTACTAAAATTAAAAAATACGAAAAATAAAAAATTCAAATTTTAAAAAACTGAAACAAAACACTGATTTGTATTCGCAACAACACAAATGCAAATGCAGACAAAAGTTTCATAAGATCAAAACCCACGAAACAATTTCATTTTTATTGAAGAATATATATATATATATATATATTGAGAAAGATATAGAAGCACCAATCAAACTACTAATTATTTATTAAGCAATTTGATAGATGTCAATACTATAGCAAAGTAGTATATATATACATTGGATTAGCAAGCAAAAGTTTCCTAGTGTGAATCTTCTGGCATTGGGTGGCAAAGGAAAAATATTTTATTAATATTTTATCAACTTTAATACTCTTTTGTTTGTATCTTAACCTCAAC